ATGTATGTTTTTGAATGAGATCATGTCTTTTGCAGGAACATGGATGGAGCTGGAGGCCATTATCCTCAGCAAACTAATGCAGGAACAAAAAACCAAAATACTGCATATTCTCATTTATAAGTGGAAGCTAGATGATGAGAATTCACAGACACAAAGCGGGTAACAACAGACACTGGGGCCTACTTGAGGGTAGAAGTGGGGAGGAGGGAGAGGAGCAGAAAAAATAGCTATTGGGTACTAGGTTTAGTACCTGGGCGACGAAATAATCTGTACAACAAACCCCCATGACACGAATTTACCTATACAACCAACCTGCACATGTACCCCCAAACCTAAATTGAAAGATTAAAAAATAATAACTGAACTTTTTGAGTGCTTGAATGCTTACTAGGTGCCAGACATTGAACCAAGGCTTAGATTAATTTACAGGCAAATCGTAGTCTGACTGAGAGCTTTATTCCATCAGGAATAAAGTTTATTCCACCAGGGAAACAGACTGTTTGAAGCCTTCATTATATCAAATCACAATATTACCCAAACTATCACTGGATTATAAATATCATGAATACTCACCGTTTACTACCCAGCCTGGTATGTATGCAGCTCTATTCAGTGGATGCCGTAAGCTTAGCCTGGCAGTGTTTGTTCCTCCGTGAGCCCGTACTTTTAAGCTGTATCTGCCATTTTCTGTATATGCTGTAAAATATCTGGAGTAGACCCCATCATTCTTGAAAGAATCAGCATCTTGTTATAGAAATGAAGGACTAAAGTATTGTAAAGAGAAATGTATGCATTTTCTAAGACAAACAATTGGCCTCTATAAGCATATTCTCTAGATTAGGCTCAATATTTTGAGATTGATCCTTTGGAAAATATTTTCATTATATTCTGCCAAAACAATATATTGTTGAATTAATACCTTTGAGCTATTTTGATATCTGTTATATCTATATAACACACATACACACATTGATATTTATGTATGCATAATAAATGCCTAAATACCTCACCTTTCTGTCCTTATTCATTCATATACAGAATATTACACATAGTACTCTTACAATCTCTCCACCACTTGCTTTGCTTTCAGCTTGCTTTCTCTAAACTCATGTCATCTCTCTTTTTAAATCAAAACGGTCTCTACTAAGGAAAAATCCTATCTTTGTGTAGGATTTAATTCTCATAACAGTCAACTAAAATTACTAAATTTTGATATTTTTAGAGATATAAATTTTCCAGACTTCCTAGGGAAAGGTCCCAGCATTCTGTGTTCTTACAAGCCCTCGAGATGACTCCTTTGCACACTGAAGTTTGTCTGCAGACTAAAGACATTTGAAGCCTAAAGAATGTCTGCTCTATATCATTGTTAATCATCAATCATCTCAGGTTAAGGCATTCCAAATTAGCAAATTTCCCCAATTAGCTAAATGGTCATCAAGCAAAATGTTGAGAAGGGAAATATGGTGCATTTAAGTTTTAATGTAGTATAGATTTGCAGAAAGGGGAAAAGAGGCAAGGCATAGTTATGGAAATGTTGGTTAATCCGAAGAAGACATTGAGGTACACAAAAGAACAATTTCACCTTCTCACTTTTTCTCAGGGGCAACTCTAGTTGAAGATATGATTATAAAATGATTGAATAAGTTACATTGTGAAATATACTGATAGAAAACTCGGGTGCCTATCAATACAGTTATTTCCTTGCTCAAAAACCTCTTAACAGAAGGTTCCGTTCCTAGAACAATGCAGAATCTAGGGAAAGGGTTTTTAGGCATCACCCATATGTAAAGACCAGGGAGACAGAGTATGGTCAACACTGTATCTTGATTTCTACCAGCCAGACCTGGTATCTGATGCCCCAGTGATGAGTCCTCGTCTCCTGTGGCAGTGCCAGCTGCCCTGGGCCCCCGTCCTCAGGACTACTTTGTTCCAGTTGTTTAGAATTACTCCTGCTTTCTTTCCCTGCCAGGGACTCAAGTTCTATCACTTCATCACATCTAGTTTGCTTGTGTTTCACCCTGTCTAGCCAGGATTTCTTGATGCTGTCCTCAGCCTCTTGAATGAGACCTTCCTAAGTGGTGACAGATGTTGGCTGCCTGGATGACAAACAATAATGATGACAAAAAATAACATGTATGGCCAAGCGTGATGGCTCACTCTTGTAATCCCAGCACTTTGGGAGGCTGGGGTGAGAGGCTGGCTTAAGCCCAGGAGTTTGAGAACAGCTGGGGCAATATAGTGAGATCTTTTCTCTTTTGTAGATCTTTTTTTTTGGAGACCTGTTCTTTACAAAAATTTTAAAAATTAGCTGAGCATCGTGGCACACACCTGTATCCCAGCTACTTGGGATGCTTAGGTGGGAGGATTGCTTGGGCCTGGGAGGCAGAGGGTGCAGTGAGCTGAGATGGCATTACTGAACTCCATCCAGCCTGTGTGACAGAGCGAGACCTTGTCTCAAAATGCAAACAAAAAAAAACCCTCAAAAATCAAAAACTTTTAAACTTTTATTTATTGATTTATTTTTTGGGTATTTTTGTTTTTTGTTGAGATGGAGTCTCTCTCTGTGGCCCAGGCTGGAATGTGGTGGTATGATCTTGGCTCATGGCAATCTCCACCTCTCAGATTCAAGCAATCCTCTGGCCTCAGCCTCCCAAGTAGCTGGGATTACAAGTGTATGCCACCACACCTGGCTAATTTTTTGAATTTCTGGTAGAAATCGGTTTTAACCATGTTTTCCAGGCTAGTCTTGAACTCCTGACCTCAAGTGATCTGCCCACCTAGGCCTCTCAAAGTACTAGGATTACATACGTGAACCACTGTGCCCAGCCCAAAGACATTGATTGAGTGCTTACCACATGCAAGACATTTGCTAAGTACTCTGTAGGTTTTACCTAGATCAAATTTCCTGCTGGTCCTGCAATTCCTCCTTAATCTGCATCAATTCTGTTGCCTGTCTTACTGCCCCACAATGCCACAGGGACTCATGACATGTTGAGTTAGGAAAATATTGGCTTATTCATAAAAACCTGTGAATTACCTGCACCATTATCCAAAAGTTCCAAAACTTCCGTATTTCCACTCTGTGATTCAATGAAGGCAGTCACATTGGCTCCAAGAACAGGTACATATCCTTGTAGAATTTCTGCATAAACAATCATTGGGCTGGGGAAACTGTTTATGTCCTTATTCATTTTAGCATTCACTGTGATTGGAGGCACAGAAGAATTTGCTGCTCGAGAAGTTACTGTAACAGTTAATGTTTCTGGGTTTGCTTTGGCTTGAATATTATATGCCCAAGTGCCCACCTAGAAATGTCAATGGAAATACAGTAAGTATCCAAAGTGAAGCTACTTTCTATGTTTCCATTATGTAATTCTAAAATAAATTATGTAAGTGGAGAGTAGAATAAAGAACTTTTTAAGGATGTTGAGGCTAAATGGGTAAGAGCTGAGGCAGTTCAGTGAGGGCATGCCAACTGGTATCATTCATGATGTGTACACTTTGCTACATCTCAATTGGAAAAAATAAATTTTAGAAGGTTTGCCTTGGTTTTGGCCTTAGAGTCCACAGATTCATCAATCCTGGTAGGGCTAATAAGGAAGGACCCTGTAGCTCTTTACCCACCAAGTTGTATAGACTTTTCCTACGTTTTCGTCTTAAAGTTCTTTTTAGACTGTCTTGACTACCTTTTCTTCTTTTTTTTGAGACAGAGTCCTTGGTCTGTTGCCCAGGCTGGAGTGCAGTGGCATGATCTCGGCTTACTGTAACCTCCACCTCCTGGGTTCAAGCAGTTCTCTGCCTCAGCCTCCCGAGTAGCTGAGATTGCAGGCACCTGCTACCACGCCTGGGTAATTTTTTATTTTTGGTAGAGATGGGGTTTCACCGTCTTGGCCCATCTGGTCTTGAACTCCTGACCTCGTCATTCACCTGCCTTGGCCTCTCAAAGTACTGGGATTACAGGCGTGAGCCACAGCTTCTACCTCTTCCTTGTTCTTAATTCATAGGTTCTTTTTCCTTTTTCCCCACCATCATAATTTTAAGGACATAGGCATAGAAAGTACATACTATTTTATCTTAATTTTAAAGTTGATACAATCTTTGGTACTCACATTTATGACATTAAACAATTTATGCTCAGCTTTTAAAAAAATGTTTTCAGGAAGTCTAAAAGCTGATTGCTTACCTTTGCAGTTCCTGGAATACTGAGATAGGCCATTTTGGAAGCTGCATCCACTGTGAAATTTCCCATTATTGTTCCACTGGGATCCCAGAGAAAAATATTGGGAGGCAGTTTGTCCCATGTGATGAGAAAGAATGTGTCCTTTCCCACTGTGCTATCAATTATGACAGTGTCATTCATCCAGGCATTACTGTTCAGTGTTAATCCCTTACTTTCCAGCTGTTTAAACAGATGTCAAAATTATGACTTCAGAATTTTATTCTTTTTCAAGATGGTTCTTAATTTCTGGCCTGAGAACAAGCTTATACATGGCAAAGCACCTTAGACTTGTGATCTCTCTGCAAGCTGGTTATGATATGACAGTTATCAATTAAAAAGTGAGAAAGTAAAAGACTTAGAGCAGAAGCATGGGTTTTACAGTTGTGAACATGACCTTACTGTTTTTTCCTGGTTGTCTTGGCAAGCATTCATGGATATTTTCCTGATGTGAAATTTTGAAATAATTTTTTCACACAGATAGAGGGAGTAGCACTGGGCTGATAGTTAAAGGTTGGACTCCTGAGAGGAGAGGAAATTGAAAGTAGAATCTTTCTCTGATCGGAACTTTAGAGAAAGTTTTCCAACTTTTTGTTGATAGCTCTTAGTCCAGGAGAGACAACCATGTTTCTTTAGTTACTTATTTTTTAAACTGACAAAGAAATATGCATATATTATGGAATAGCTAAATCAAGTGGATTAACATATGCATTGCCTCATATATTAATTATTATTTTTTATGTGATAAGAATGCATAAAAAATCCACTTAATGATTTTCAAGTATACAATACATTGTTGTTAACTACAGTTGCTACATTTTATAACAGATTTCTTAGTATTTCTACCATTCGTTTACAATAAACAGAACACAAAATAGTATCTTCAGAATCAGTTCTCTCTCCTTACTTGTCAATTTCGGTCACCATAATCATCATTTTCTCAGTCAACCAGTGTGTCCACCTCAGAAATGACCTTTATTATCCTTCAGTTTGTTCTCTGCACACTACCAGGCTAGCTCTCGCACAAGTTTTAACTTGTTTGCAGGATATATCTGCAGACCAGATGTCCAAATCAACTTGCACATACTCTAAGCTCACATCCTGTAACTTCTGTTCTTTTCAGTGTTGAGAAACAGAGGAAAATATGTTTGTTTTGGGATCATGGCAAGTTTTAATATAGGCAATGAACTGATGGGCTGGAAAACAGAAGACAGAAATCTTGGCATAAAGTGACATGACATAGACTTGTAGGAATGAAAAGAAGAGAAACATTTTCGTTGAACATATTTTGAGAGAAACAGGCTATGTTCACAGGGGACATGAAGAAAAAAGAATCAAAGTTTACTTAAAGTTTTTGAATCCAAGTTATAGAAAATGCTATCAAGATCCGAATGAGAAAAAATGTTAAGTTCAGAAGAGAGGTGAATAAAACACAAAGCCAGTGAAAAAATGTGGTTGAGGAGTTAACAGAAGACCTATGTTCGTAGATACCCATTGATTATTACCCCTTCTTTCTCTTGCTTAATTTATTTCCAAGATACACTTCCTCCATTTCCCAACCAGGTTCTTGAGTTCATGTGTCTAAATCTACATCATAGAAGTTAAGCATAGGGAAAGCTTGGAAGCCTAAACTTTTAAAATGCGTTCATTGAAAAATTGGTGCTTTATTTTGGAAAAGGTCCATTTTTGGTGGAAAAATTTGACATTATTAGGTTGTAATGTCATTTCTTAACCAAAGAAAAAGTTTAGATTTTAATTAAAAATTTATTTTGAGAAAAATATGGAACTCAAAACTTATAATAACTAACAAATTGTTTCTTTCTTTGTTATGGCAAAAGTGAACATGAAAACCAACTCTGACCTGAAGGGACTTCTGGGAGATATCGGCATTTCCTGATGTAAGGGCCCCAAAAGCATCAATGAGGCCATTGTTCTGGGCTTCATCTGAAGCATAAAAATGACTTCCTCCTAAAATTTAAATGCATTAATTAGACTGCTTTCTAGAAAATTTATTTTAGTGATTATTAAGGTAATAGTTAAAAAATCATAGTTTCAGTATGTGTTATTAAAATAAACCAAAGGCACGTAGTTGTACAGATTAAATCTGAAATGCTAATTTTAAAATGTCAGAACTAGGGAATGAAAGCTACCATAATACCTCATTATCAAAATCTTAGGTAGCTAAAAGGCATGATAATTATAGAATATGAAAGATGTTATAATTCCAGGTATTAAAGCTGACAAGCTTTACACACAGCCCTTTTAGAGAATCTTTTATTTCCAACAAAGTTGACTTTCAGATATTTCAGTCATTGTAGATTTGTGAAATCTTTTGTTAAAAAATTTATTAATCTTTTATTTTAGTTTTAACAAAGTTGACTTTCAGACATTTCAGCCAGCATAGATTAAAATCAGAACATTAGAAAGATGAAGGAGCTGCTATATTTAGGTATCATCACAATAACTGGCAATGAACAGATAGAAAAATGGAAAGCAAGAGAGATTAATCCAAAATACTACTACTTTTAAGGTGCTACTTGGAATAGAAATAAATTTTACAATGGCCATGAAAGCACTTTAAAATGATGTGATTTTGTATAAGCATTAAAAAGCAAGCATATATTTAGTACCATTAGAAGCCAGTTCAACATAATTTATATCATGTCATAAATTATATATTCTCTACTATGTTTAAGAAGGTATTAGAAATACGTAATCCATTTTCATCATATGTCTGTGTGTCTAAAATAACAGCTACCATAGTTAATGTTTATATAAAAACTTCATTGTTATGTAGATCTTTTCAGCCTGAGCTTCTGTTAATCACATACACCCACCTGACAGCTTATGCTCTGGTCTCACGGATTTTCACCTTTCCTGCCCCATGCCTTGCATTGTCACCCCAACATGATGTTTTTTGGCATTGACCTGATCATCTTTTCTTACCATTTTTTCTACCCAGAGAAATTCAAGACCTTGTTCAAAGCCCGGCTCAGAATTTAGCCAGTTTCTCATGCTTCCTTTCCCTGGATGTATACAACTCTAGTAATTTAATGGCTTCCTCTGCTCACATAGAACTTTATTCTTCTATATTCCTCTGTTATGAAGGAATGTTACCTGAGTATGTTATTTCATTAAGAGTTTCTATGTTTACTCCAAGTGCTATGAGAACAGATTGTGTCTGGTCCCCAGCTTCAGTGCCTCCAGCGCAGAAACTCAAGAGAAGTTGTTGAACTCTTAGCCTTTACATTTACACATTGATATTGAGGGCTTGGAATAAATGAACCATGTTTTACCTGTTATATTGCTCATCTCTATTACT